TTGGGCTTTGCCATAGGTAAGTTGGGCTTTGCCATAGGTAAGTTGGGCTTTGCCATAGGTAAGCTGGGGGTGCTCAGGCTGCTCCAAGGCTCTCTCCCCAGGAGCAGCAGTGCCTGACCAGCCCCTCCTTGCTCCGGGCAGGAATGGTGGACTCCTCCATGATGCCCATCATGGGTTACCTGGTGGACCTGCGCCACACCTCCGTCTACGGCACCGTCTACGCCATCGCTGACGTGGCCTTTTGCATGGGCTTTGCCGTTGGTAGTTGCTCTTCTTTTCCCTTTTTTTTTAAAAAAACAAACAAACCTCCAAACTTTTTAAACATTCTTTGCCATTATTTTGTTGTTTTTTTGTTGTTTTTTTTTTTTAATATGAAATACTCGCTGATTTGTAGTATTAGAACAACACAGTAAGTTAATAGTAATTATTCTTATTTGGATTATCTCGTGTTAGAGTACACTCATAGCAGTGAGGGAGCTCTTACAGGGGGGACTGCTTGGTGTCCTCACTCTGGTTATCACTCCCTTTCTCCACACAACGTTCACCACAACCACCGAGTCCACCACAGGTCCCCTCCAAAGCGGACAAACCTCCCGCTCTCCGGGATTTTTATCCCTTTCCAACGTTTCGATTGGCAGGTCCCTCCACGGCTGGGGCGATCGTCGGAGCCATCGGCTTCCCCTGGCTGATGGTCATCATCGGGGTGACCAACCTGGCCTACGCCCCGCTCTGCTGGTGCCTGCGCAGCCCCCCCGCCAAGGAGGAGAAGATGGTCAGTTTTAGGGGGGTTTTATTGGAGTAGAGGGGGTTCACCACCCAGGGATCTGGGGGAGGTAAGAATAAATTCGCTAGGGATTGCGTCTTCTGGTTTGGGTGCCGCTCTGCCCTCAAAAAGGGACAAAAATCTCAGATAAAACCAGGTGAGTTTAGAGGGTCCTTCCCTTAACTCTCCCTTAACTTCCATTCCCTGGGCAGAAGTTGGTAACTCCTGTTAAGTGTTCAAATTAATCGCAATTTTTACCAAAGCAGGATTTCTCCTCTCCTCCACCCAGGCAATCCTGAGCCAGGAGTGCCCCATGCAACCCAAAAGCTACACCGGGCAGAAACCCCTGCGGGAATTCCCTCTCTCGGAGGACAGTGACGTGGAGGAGGAAAATGTGGAATAGCCAGTGCAAGGATGTGTGCCCTGCTTTAAAACCAATATTACGGTTACAAACACAGATTCTACGAGCAGTGGATGTATCAGCCTGTCCTGGAGAACAGCTTTGTCCCAGGCACAGCCTGCCCGTGCCAGAGGAGAACATCAACATCTCTCCCACTGTCCCGGGGCTTTGTGAATGTCTTTAAAGCACTGACTGTTCCTGAAAGAAAATGGAGGGGGAAAAAAGAAAATGAAATCAGCTCTGGGAGATTTCTCTTCTCCAGATCCTCCTCTAAACCCCAGGATGAAGCTGTTCTGTAACAACAGGGCACAATCCATCTGTGCCACCGCCCCTAAAGATGTCACTGTAATGTCACTGCTCCACGGTCCTCTGGAGACACTAAAAAAAACATCCATTTCCTTTTGCTGTAGCTTGATGTGTCGTGCTGTGTCCGTGCTGCTCAGAGCTGCCTGTGTGTCCTTCCTGATGTACATTAAACGAATTCATTTGTTTGGAGAACTCTTTAAGAAACTGGGGGGGGAAATAAGGTTTAGAATCCCCCACAAAAAAAGCCACTTAGATCACTCGTGATTAATGTTATTTATATATATACATATATATATGTATGTACACACCCATACATATACAAACACATGTATGTACACACACATATCTATGTATGTACACACACATAGATACATATCTATACACACATATATACACATGAAATAAAGATATATTTCATATATATATACACACACAGATAGATACATAGATAGAAATACAGATAGATATATTTCAGGTGCTGCCAGTGCTGCAGCTGAGGGGACGAGGGGATTCTTGGCAGCTCTAAGGGGACTCTTTCCCCCAGAATCTGCCCTTTCTCTCAGGGCTTCCACAACGCAAACATTCACCCTCACGGCTCCAAAACCGCCGAGCGGGAGGCGCCCAGCGCCCGGCTGGGTCTGCCATGGAGAACACCCTGGGCAGGGCTCATCCAGCGGCCCCGCGGCCCCTCAGGGCCGTGTTTGTGCCACGGTTTGGTTTTATCACCGCCCCTGAGGGGCCGCCGCCATTACAGGGGCCCGCCTTCCCTTTTGACGTCACTTCCCGTTCCGGTAATGGCGGCGCCCTGAGCGTGTGGGCCGGCACCGCTGTCCCCGTCCCTGGCACCGCTGTCCCCGTCCCCGGCACCGCCACTGCCGCCGCCGCCGCTTCGCCGTCACCGCCGTCGCTGTCGCCGCCACCGCCACCATGCACTCGGACGATGTGAGCCCGCCCGTCCCTTCGCTTCGGCCCGGCCGCGCCTCCGCCCCACGTGGCCGGCGGGGAGGGGGGGGAGCGGGGTGTCCCCTGTCCCCGACACCGGGGGTGGCAGATGGGCAAGAGGGGAGGATGCAAATGGGGGTTTGGCAGCAGCAGATGTGCTGTGCCTGCACCCCCTGTGACTCCGCACCCTCCCCTGCCAGCGGGGTGTCCAATGTTTGTGGGGTTCCCCCCGATGGAGCCGCACCGGGGGATGCTGGAGCCGGGAGGGGGGCCGGGGGGCCAGGTGAGGGGTGCCGGGGTGTGTGACCCTCTATTTGTCCCCGCAGATTGTCTGGAGCATGCTGGGGAACAGGCAGTTCTGCTCCTACAAGATGACGTGAGTTTTTGGGGGGCACAGGGTGGGCTGAGCCCGGGGGGGCTGTGGGAGGGACACACTCGGGTGCCCCTCAAACCTTGGCACGTCCCCCCTGTGCCACCACGGCCACACATGAGGCTGCAAGGGGCAGGTGGGCAGTGGGGTCTTCCTGCCCTTCCCTACTTAATTAATTCCCTCTCACCCCTTTTTCCAGCACCAAAACCCAGAACTTCTGTCGAAACGAGTACAACCTGACGGGGCTGTGCAACCGCTCGTCCTGCCCGCTGGCCAACAGCCAGTACGCCACCATCCGCGAGGAGAAAGGTGGGATCCCCTCTCCCAGGAGGGATTTCCTTGTGGAAAGGGTGGCCAGGCATTGGAAGGGGCTGCCCAGGGAGGTGTTGGAGTCCCCATCCCTGGAGGTGTCCAAGGAATGGCTGGACGCGGCACTCTGGGCTGGTGACGAGGTGGGGATGGGGCACGGGGTGGACTCGTCTTTCCCACCTGGATGTTCTTGTGCTCTGGCAGCTGCAGGGAGCCCATGGGCGGGGAGGGGGTGAGGGGCACCTTCCTGAGGGCACCCTGGCTCTGGGATGTGCTCAGTGGGATGGTGTTCCCTGTTCCCAGGTCGGTGTTACCTGTACATGAAGACGATCGAGCGGGCGGCGTTTCCCCGGCGCCTCTGGGAGCGGGTGAGCTCAGGGGAGCTGAGGGGTCACGGAGAGGGCTCTGAGGGCCTTTACTGAGGGGCAGAAAGGGTGTCCCCACGACAAGAGGACATGGCCTCAAGCTGTGCCAGGGGAGGTTCAGGTTGGACATCAGGAGGAATTTCTTCCTGGAAAGGGTTGTTAAACACTGGAAGGGTCTGCCCAGGGAGGTGGTGGAGTCCCCATCCCTGAAGGTGTCCAAGGAACAACTCAGTGCCAAGGTGGGGATCGGGCACAGGTTGGACTCGATGGTCTGGGAGGCCTTTTCCAACCTCAGTGATTCTGGGAGCGATGTGACTGCTCCCAGATGTCCCTGCTGTGTAACTCAACTCTCCCCCTGTCCCTCCCAGGTCCTACTGAACAAGAACTACGAGAAGGCTCTGGAGCAGATCGACGAGAACCTCATCTACTGGCCGCGGTTCATCCGGCACAAGTGCAAGCAGAGGTTCACCAAGATCACGCAGTACCTGATCCGCATCCGCAAGCTGACCCTCAAGAGACAGTAAGGGACACCCCCGGTGGGCACTGGTGCCCCCCAGGACACTTACACAAGTTGCAGCCACGTTTCTAGTGAGGAAAGTGCTGGCTGTTGCTCCCCAGAGGGTGACAGATTCCCAACTGCCTGTTGTTCCCTGCAGGAGGAAGCTCGTCCCGCTGCGCAGGAAGATTGAGAGGCGGGAGAAGAGGCGAGAGGTAACAACGCTCCTTCTGTCCCCTCTGGTCACTGCTCCTGGGCCTCAGCCTGACTGCTCCTCTCTCTCTCCTTTAGGAAAAAGCCCTGATTGCTGCTCAGCTGGATAATGCCATCGAGAAGGAACTGCTGGAGAGACTGAAGCAGGACACAGTAAGGATCCCCCTGGGAGCACACTTTACTTTGATGCTGCCCGTGTGCAGGCTTTCCAAGTGTGCCTTCCTCCTGTGACCTACAGAAAATGCACTTTTTTTTTCCAGTATGGAGACATTTACAACTTCCCCATCCATGCCTTTGACAAAGCCCTACAACAGCAAGGGGCAGAGAGCGAGAGCGAGTCGGAGGCAGAGCAGGAAGAGGAGGAGGAGGATGAGGTAAAGTTTTCAGCCACTGCCCCATCACTCCTACCCTGCCCCGGTGCTGAGCTGTGGCACTGCAGGGTGAGAAGAAGACATCAGGAGAGCTCAGGAAGCTTGGCCTTGGTGGCTCTTCTGCCATGAGTCGTGACCCTGTTGTGCTCAGTCCCAGCTCTGTTTCTTGCAGGATGTGGGTACAAGGGAGTTTGTGGAAGCAGAGGAGAGCGAGCTCAGTGACTTTGAGGTAGGTGAAGCACCAGGTTTAAACTGGCTGGTCACCTCCACCCTTTGGTGTCTCTGGTGGTGGGTAAGAGCCAGCAAGATCAGATTTGTGGAAGGCACAGTCAGACTGCAGTGTATCCACGCCAGCCCAGCTCCTCTGGTCAGACAGCTGGGAGCCAGGGATTATAGAAGGGACTTGGATACACGAGGTAATTTTGGAGAAAGGGGAGGTTTAGTTGCACAGCTTGCTCTGACATCACTCTTGTCACTCAATTCTTTCTCAGGACATGGATAAGTTGGAGACAAGTAGTGAAGAGGAGCAGGAAGAGGAGGAAGAAGTAGAGAAGAAAGCCTCTCACTCCAAATCTAAAGGGAAAACGCCCCTGAAAGGACCAGCCAGGAGAAAACGTCCCTACATTGAAATAGAGTATGAAGAAGAAACAGAGCCAACCACCAAAACAAAAGCAGCCTGAGGCCTCCCTGCTCCCATTTTGTACTGACTGACAGGACTCCAGATCTGTCACCAGCTTTCACCACCGTGCAAGACCTTCAATAACTCCTTGTTTTATACTCTAGATGAAACATTTTCTCTAAGAAAAGCAGGGTTTCTGTCCCAACCCCAGGCAATGGCATCAAGTTTGTACAACTGGATGAAGCACAGGTGTAAGGAAGAAGGTCCCCCACCTTCTCTACAGCCATAAAAAGCTCAGTTTGGACTGTGCTCCATGACAGGACCTGGCCTGGGGGGCACTGCTGCTTTGGGCCGTGGCTGGAGAAGCCACACGTGGCCCAGGGAGCACACACGTGTATTTTGGGGGACATGGCAGGTATGGGGCCAACAGGTGGGACAAGACAGGCAGTAACTTTAAATAAATAAACCAGTTTTACTGTACAAAATTGGGGGGGTGCTGTCAGCCTCCTCACGTGCTCTCCTGCACCTTCCTGATGCATTCCCGCACACGGTTCTCCTCACAGCTGCTGTACACCCCTTCCAGCAGCACCTGCAACAAGAACAGCGTCATTCCTGGTGCCTTGGCACCGGAAAAAGATTCCCAGTGGGCTTTATGGTGTTACCAACCCTCCCCCAGCTCTGCTGGGAGAGAGCTGCACAGAGCACGGCTCGATACCTGTCGATAGGTGTGGAGTCACTTACCAGTTATTGATGCTTGAGGAAGGAACTGGGCACCTGCACACCCCACACTGCCCCTCCTCAGGTGCTGAGCCCCTGACTCACCTTCACCTGCCCTCTGGAGCAGTGATCCAGCAGGATGAGGCACTGGGTGGCCCTTTGGAGCAGGGCGGCTCTGACGGGCTCCGGCGTCGGGCCCGGGTCCGTGTGAACATCCCAGATCAGCCTCAGCAGGGCTTTGAGGAGCACGGGGAGCCTGCAGGGCATCCTGCCAGGGAGAACAGCACCACACCTCAGCCCAAAGCCTGCCCAAGCCAGGGGGAAGCACAGCTTTGCTGAGCAGTTCCTGGGAGCTGCCTAAGGCCAGTGTGCCAGGAGGGGACGGACCTGGACACACAGGTAACCTTGGGATGGAGTGTCAGGAATGCTGTCACTGCACAGCCTGATTCACAGCACAGGGCTCACTCCACAGAGATTTAACTTAGAGCCAAGCTGATGCTTCCAGAACAGGCACAAGTTGGATGGAAACGAGGACCTGGCTTAATTTTTGGGCCAGATTTTTCAGCCAAGCAGCAATGCCAGTGACTCCTCTCTGGGACAAATCCTTAGGATTCCAGGGCCTGTTCCTCAAGCAGCAGTAACTTTGGCCCTTAAAGTGGAAACACTCAGGCCAGGGTTTGTGTTCAGGCCAGGTTTTCTGGGCACAGTGCCTGTCACCCCCAAGGTACCTGGGCCAGGCGTGCTCTATGGTGCACTGCAGTGTCTCCAGTATTCCCAGTCTGGCTTCTTCCTCAGGGCCATCAGAGACCTCCAGGTAGCCCAGGATGACTCGTTCCAGCCTCTTCAGGTGCCGCACCACCAGGATGCCGAGTCTGCAGGCACAGACACGGCCTGAGGGGGGAGGAGACCCTTGGACAGCCAGGCCAAGGCCTGTCCTGGTTGGGTCACTGCTCTCCCCTCCTCACAAAGGCAGGCAGGGCCCCTGTGCAGACCTGGTTCCTCTCCCCTCCCCAGCAAGGGCAGGGTGCCCAGGTACAGCTCTGAGCTCTCACCTCCTGACGAAGGCGGGCAGGATCCCCCCATAGACCCTCCTCAGCGCCAGCCGGTGCTCCCCCTCCATGTGTGTCAGGACCAGCTGCAGCACCTCGTCGCACTGGGAGCGGGGTCTCACCTGGCCCTGGTGCCCCTGGTGCCGCTGGGATCGCTCCAGGATGGGCAGCAGGTCCAGCAGGCACAGTAGCACTGCCTGGTTTGGGGACAGACAGCGGAGCTGGGCAATCCTGGTCACATTCTCTCCAAAACACCAACCCTCTGACCACCCCCAGCTGCTGCTGCTCATCTGACAGGCCCAGCTACTCCTATTCCCTGTGACCTGCCCTCCTCAGCAGGGCTGTCACCTGCCATGGTCCTCCCTCTGCACTGGTATGTTCCTGAAATCCCCGGAGTTCCTTTGTCTCCAGGCCACAGGCAGTGGCTGGTAACAGCCTGAGTGGGCTGTGAGAGGGAACAGGCTCTGCCTCCTCCTGCCCTAAGCTATGGTGGGGTAGATCAACACTTCCACAGGCAGATGAAAACCAGGCTCTGGTGTCCTACCTGGATGAGAGGAGCCTCTCGGGAGTAGAGGTGGTTGTAGAGGGCATGGAACACCACCTGGGCCCTGTTGAACTGGCACAGATCCGCACCCGGCTGCAACACAGAGCAGGGGGTTAGTCCTGGGCACCACACCCAGCTACAGCCTAAGGAAAGAGCACAGCCCTCCCAATCCCTGCATCCTGGGCACGAGGAACTCTGCTCACAGGTGCTGTAATGCAGGTTAAATGCTGCCACCCTCAGAAGCAGCCACTTCCTTCTCCTTATTTCACCTCCCCAGCTGCTGCTGTGCAGTTCCACTGGCAACACTTGCTGCTGTGGGGTTCGGGTGTGAACTGGTTGAGATGTGGCAAAGCGGTTCTCTGCTTTGTGTTACAGATGTAACAACTGCACAGGTTTAACCACACGGGGACAGCGTGGAAGAGAGGGCAGAACTGCTGGTTAACAGCAGAACCAGGAAGTTAGGAATCCTAACAGGAGTCCAACCTACCCGAGGGAACGGCTGGAGCTGTGTCAGGGCAGGGTTAGGTTAGAGATCAGGAAAAGATTCTTCCCCCAGAGGGTGGTGGGGCACTGAACAGGCTCCCGAGGGTTTGGTCACAGCCCCAAGGCTGCCAGAGCTCAAGGAGTGTTTGGACAAGGCTCTGAGGGATTCGAGGTCTCCCCTCCCTCACCACGTTGAGGACGATGTGGTGCAGGCACTGCACTCCCAGCACTTTGTTCTCCTCCTGGAAGTCGTCGGAGATGAGCAGTGAGGGCGGCAGGACCCGCTCCAGGTGAGGGCCCAGCCAGGGCCGGGTGACGTGGGGCAGCGTCCAGCAGAACACGTGTTTGGTGGCAGGGTTGCGCTTCCAGGTGTCCCTGGAGACACAAACACCAGCTCAGGGAACACTGGGAATAACGAGCACTGCTTTCCTGAGCACTGGGACCAGCTGACAGCAAACCCAGACTGATCCCCCCCAACATCTTCCGTTACCGGGCATTTGCAAAGCTCCTGGCCTCTAATCATGTGTTTTATTTATTACTTAATAGATATTCTCCATTTACCCCCTTTATATCTCATGTTTGTAACGCCTGAGCTCAGTGCCCCAAAGGCTTCCAGCACTCCCCACACAGAGTCACCCAGCTCGTTCCCTCCCCTCCCTACTCACTTGGTTAACTCCTGTTTCAGGAGCCCCATCACGGCTCCAAACCTTCCTTCCTCATCCCCATCCTTTCCCCGCAGGAATTCAGCCACGGACACGCAGCCTGCGGCCCGGACCAGCATCTCCAGCAGCTCCCGGGCCACCGCCCGGCTCCTCTCGGTGGTCCAGGGCCGCTCCTCGAGGTGCGTGACAGCGAAGACGTAGATGTGTGCCAGCACACGGCGCAGCGCGGGCCCCACCGCGGGCGCCCCGGGGCATTCCTGGCTCCTCCCGGCATCCTCCAGCTTCTTCAGCAGGAGCGCAAACACGGCGCCCACCTGCTGTGCCCTCTCTGCCGCAGCAGCGTGCTCCCTGTCCCGGCCGGGGGGCTCCGACCCGTCCTGCTCCCGCCCCGGGGGGGCCGCGGACTCGCCCAGCGCGGCCGCCAGCTCGCCCAGCGCCGCGGGGCTGCCGGGCCCGAGGAGGAGCCACCGCGGGTCCGCCGCCTCCAGCAGCTCCCTGAGGGCTCCGGGGCCATCGGACAGCGACAGCCGGGCCTGCAGCAGCACCTGCTCGGCCGAGGGGACCGAGGGGGGCGGCGGCGGCTGCCCGGGACCCCCCTCCGGCCTCAGGCCACCGGCATCCATGGCGCGACCCGGCAGCGCCTCCCGCGCCCTAAAACCGCGCTAAATACACATCCCTGCCGGCAGCAGCGCCTCCCGGGGCGCGGAGACCCCCGAGAGACCCTCAGAGACCCCGAAAACCCCTTCGAAACCCCTTCGAGAGCCCCAGGCCCCTCCGCGCCTCCCGCACCAGCGGCTGGAACTGTCGCAAAACACCCCGCTTGCCGTAAAGCCGGCGCGCCGGGGGGGGCGTGGCGCCGCGAGAATAAATTACCATGGATAATTAGCGGCGAAAATGCGGGGAAGGAGGGGCGGTGCGGGGCGAAAAGGGCGAAACAGGGGGATGTGAGGGGACGAATCGATGGCGTGGAGTGCGCTGTGTCAGTGTGAGGGGAGAATTACCCTGCCTCGGGTCGCCCTGACTTCGATAGAGGTGGTGCGGCGGTAGGTCTGGGCGCGGGAAGACTGTGCATTGATCCTTCCGGTTCATGACCATGATGAATGGGATGGACACGCGCCTGCGTGACGTGTGCGCCCTCAGTTACGACATCGCACAGTCCCTTCTGACCGCCGGGGGGTCCTGACGTCACGGGCGACGTCATATTTACAATTGTCATGTTAAAAATAGTTATACGAGGAAACGGGGGG